CCAAAAGGAAGCAGGAAAGGGGGAACAAAGAAAGAAATAAACAGAGGGGGTAAGTAGAAAACAGTAAAGTTGTAGATAATCTAACTATATCAACAACTGTGTTAACTGTAAATGGTCTAAATGCACCAATTATTGTGCCAGATAGGATTCTTAAAAACCAAGACCCAATCACATACTGTCTCCAAGAAACCCACTTTAAATATAATGATATAGATAGATTGAAAGTAAAAGGATGAAAGAAATGGAAAAATAAAAAAAGCAAAACCAAAAAAATTGGAGTGATCATTATTCACATCAGCCAATGTAGATTTCAGAACTAGAAAACAATGATTCTTTATAAAAACGCAAAGGATGGTTTTGAACAGCAGATTAGTTCGTCTGTCAGTGATCTGTCTGGAAGAAGCAATTTATTGTTTGGCTTATAAGAATTTCCAGGAAAAAAAAAAAAAAAAGCAGCAGCAGCAGCAATTTATTCCATTCTCTGAACTCTGGTGTCAACTGAAATTGCCAAGGACCAAAAGGCAGAGAAATGGATCTTTCCTGATTTTTCTCCCAGGGATCTCACCCCAGGGAAAGGACCACTAAGTGGTTTTAGAAATTGCTGCCAGCAAAGGAGAGATATTCTAGGAATACAAACATATGGAGGCAACAATTTAAAAATTCATTCTAGGCCAGGCCTGGTGGCTCATACCTACAATCCCAGCACTTTGGGAGGCCGAGACAGGAGGATTGCTTGAGCCCTGGAGTTTGAGACCGGCATGGGCAACACAGCAAGACCTCGTCTCTACAAAAATTAAAATTAAAATTAAAATTCAAAAATTACCCAGGTGTGGTGGCACGTGCTTGTAGTCCCACCTATATGGGAGGCTGAAGTGGGAGAACCACTTGAGCCCAGGAGTTTATGGATGCAGTGAGCAAAGATCTGTCACTGCACACCAGCCTGGGCAACAGAGCAAAAGTAAATGTAATTCAAACAAATAAAAATAAAAATACTTTTGTCTCTAAGCAAAAGTAAATGTAATTCAAACAAATAAAAATAAAAAGCTTGATTTGTTTTCTTTAGTTGACATTCCCACCCTCTCCTAAGAGGTCTCCTTAGATTTTGTCCAGGCCTCTGCTCAGTTTTCCAGAATCTTTCCATTTTCAGATACTCCTGAACAGGTGTAACCAGGTGCCTGGTGTAATCCAAGTATGCCACTGCTTTCAGGTCCATGCTGTTCCCATTTTCCTAGATCCATTGCTCATGCCTTAAATTCTGGCTCTCCTAGAAAGGACTGTTGCTCTAACTAAGGCTATGTTGTCTTGTGAGTTACCAGCTTCCAGATAATCCCTGCCCTCCAAGACTCTTGCTCTGCACAGGCAACTCTGAGTAAGACCTGAAGAAGAATGTCAATCCCTATTTCCACTAGTAGGTGGCGTTTCGCTAACCATCACTGGACTTGGATTGCGCCTCGTGCTCATTGTTTTATACAGCCCTTTACACAGTTTTAGAAATGTAGAAAGTTTTCCAAGACAAACAGAGAAACAAAATGGCCCACCATGAAAATGAACACAAGGCATGGAGAAGGCAAATGAGAAGGAGCTTCTAAAAGAGAAATCCTTGGGTTTTTTTTTTTAAATCACTCTCCCTCGAGTGCAGTGGCATGCTCACGGCCACTGAAGCCTGGACCTGCTGGGCTCAGGCGATCCTTCCAACTCAGCCTTCCAAGTAGCTGGGACTACAGGTGTGCACTACCATGCCCAGGTAATTTTTTTAATTTTTTATTATAGAGGCGAGGTCTCACCATGTTGCCCAGGCTGGTCTCGAACCCCTGGATTCAGGCAAAGTTCTCACCTCCACCTCCCAAAGGGCTGGGATTACAGGCATGAGCCACGTGACCAGCGTCCTTTGACTTTCATTATGCAGATTTGATTTGCGGTTAGACTATCCCCATTAACTCATATTATTTATCTACTATGGACACAGTTCATGTTTTAAAATCGCTAACTTTTTGACTCACAAGGAATTTTAAGCCAAAGCAGGAGTTTGTACAAATACATAAAAGAAAAGCACGGTGACATTCCCACAAAGTGTGGTTTTCGTATACTTAAAATTCATGCTACTTTCATACTGGGAATTGAGGGTTGAGGCTGCTCGTGTTGATAAGAAAAAATAAGAAATAAATTTCCCAATGTCATAAGAATTATAGGACAAGATGAGTGGGTAGTTTCAAGGTCCACCAGATCTTTAGAGTAAAGGAAATTGGGCTATTGGGGTGGCAGTGGAATGTCACTATTTAGTGCTTTTGCAAGAGGGAAAAAAAAAAAAGCCAGGAGTCCTTGCTTAGGGAAAATGTCCAGAGAGATTGCAAATGGAAAACAATGCACCCTGCTTTTCAGATTTTAATCACACAAAAAATTCCAGGTAGTAACCTGACAAACACACTTGTACTCAACATTCAGAATTGGCAAATATTAGTATTGTGTCCCATTTGCTTCCATTCTAAACCACTGTTCATTTATTCCTGAAAAGTCTTGTGTCACTAAAGGTCTCAGCAGAGCTACATACACTCAATTTTGACTTAACACAAAACCCAAGTTGTAGAAGATTTGGGGGCTGAAAGATTGTGGAGTTTACCATCTGCTGTTTTCTTTTTAAAATGGTAGGAAGCAGGAAGAAACCCTTAGAGCAATGCCATGGGCATTTGTTTCAACTAGACATTTCCCCCAAAGCATCATTGCATATAATTTTCCATTTCACTCAATGAAACACTAAAGACAGCCATACATATAAGGTGATGGGGAAGGAGTGCAGTAGCTCACATCTGTAATCCCAGCACTTTGGGAGACCAAGGTGGGAGAATGACTTGAGACCAGGAGTTCAAGACCAGCCTGGGCAACATGAGGTGAGACCTTATCTCTACAAAAAAATTTTGAAAGTAGTTGGTCGTGGTGGCACATGCCTGTAGTCCCAGTTGCTCTGGAAGCTGAGGCTAGAGGATTGCCTGAGCCCTGGGGGTGAAGGCTGTGGTTAGCTGTGATCGTGCCTCAGTACTCCAGCCTAGGTGGCAATGTGAGACTCTAACTCAAAAATAAAATAAATAAATAAATAATAAATAAATGCGACTCAAAAAACGGAAACCTAGCGAGACCAGGGTTGTCTCACATCACACTAGAGTCCATTTTATCAAGCGTCATGGCACAATGCCAGTGCAACTTGCAACCCCTGAGGATGGCTGAGTTTGAGACCTGAAAACACTGGGTTAGATGTGGCTGTGAATGGGGGTGCTCCATTTGCTCCACCCCACCCAAGGCTTCCAGGAATGCTAAGTCCCCAGGGGACTGGATTCCCGAGCTCCTGCAGGCTATGCCTGAAGTGTTTTGAGTTTAGGAGAAGGGTGTGTGGCCAGGGGAAGCAGGACCTCTGGTCTTCCCTGTGGCTCCAAATTGAGTTGGGGCTCCTTACAGGGACGATAGTTGGGTGAAAAAATGTTTTGGGGAAAAATGGTTAGACAGATACCTGTGGCATTATTCTGTGGATTTCTTTCTATTTGCTACCATTTCATCAACAAAATGGGTCTACTGTTAACCCACTATGTCCAAAACCCTAGAGCCTGTGGAATGACCTGGGCTTTCCTCCTGCTGGAGTATCCACCAGGACAGAAGGGCGCTCACCCCAGGCCCAGACTGGACTCTGAAGTGTTATGAACTGACTTCAGCTTCCCTCAGATCAGGGAGGTATACTCTGTCCCCAGGAAGATGCCAGGTCCGGGGTGCTCAGGCCCTACTGCTGCATAAGGCACTGTCTCTGGCTGGGGCTTAGGGCCTGACTTCAATGCAGCCAGTCGTGGTCTGCACAGCCGCTCTGCCACTCCCCAGCTGTGTGACCTGGGCGGCGCCACTGTACCTCACTCAGCTTCAACCGCTTTGTCTACAGAAGCAAGATGGTAATCATCTAGCATGGCACCGTATGATGGAAATACAGTGTGAGCCACATGTGTAATCTTAAATTTTCTGGGCAGGCGTGGTGGGTCACACTTGCAATCCCAGCACTTTGGGAGGCTGAGGCAGGAGGATCACTTGAGGCCAGGCGTTTGAGACCAGCCTGGGCAATATAGCAAGACCCTGTCTCTACCAAGAAAAAAAAGAATAATAAAAAATTTTAGCAGTCACATTGAAAAAAATAAAGGAAAAGCAAGTGAAATTAATTTTTCTTGAGTTGGGGTTTACTCTGTCACCCAGGCTGGAGTGCAGTGGCATGAATCATAGCTCACTGCAGCCTTAATCTTCTGGACTCAGGCAATCCTTCTGCCTCAGCTTCCTCAGTAGTGCACCACCATGTCTGACTAATTTTTAAACATTTTTTAATAAAGACAAGGTCCCACTATATTGCCCAGGCTGGTCTCAAACTCCTGGGCTCAAGCAATCCTCTCACCTCAGCCTTGCAAAGTGCTAGGATTATGGGTGTGAGCCACCATGCCTGACTTTCTCATGACTTTCCATGTGGCCTCCATAATAAGAAAACTTATGTGGCAGAGTGTTTGCAAAAAATAGCAGCATTAGGTCCTCCCGCCACTGTCTGCAATGACTTCGTGCTCCTTCTATAAGTAGGTGGTGTCTATTTCTCTATATCTTGAGTCCAGTCTTGGCCATGGAACTTGCTTTGGTTAATGGGATATTAGAAAATGCAACTCACACAGAGATTTGAAAAATATTTGCCCTACTGTCACTTGCTTCTAGGACCCCTTTGCCACTGTGCAAATGAGCCTAGGCTAGCCTGCTGGGTGATGACTTACTTGTGCCCTTAGCTGACAACCAGCTGACCACTGGACATGTGATGGAATAGGACCTTGCTAGATCAGCCAACCCCAGCTGAGTCAGCACAGACAAGAAAAGCCACCCAGCTCTCCAAAGAACCATGAGAAATAATAGCAATCATCTTAAGCCACTAAGATGGGGTGATTTGTTACATGGCAAAACTGACTGATACAACCTGACTCAAGGCTAGATATTCCTCTTACCTGGGGGGGTAGTAGGGATCAAAAGTGTGGCCATCTCCCATACTAATTATACAGGACAGGTTTCCTATGTAGGGAAGGAGGAGCCACGTCAGGGAGATGGTGACATTGTCAGAAGTGCAACTGTCACTGGACACTGTCAGCTGCAGACCTGTGGAGGAAAACACAAAACGCTATGTGCCCTCACAAAGCAAAACTGCACGTTTCTGTCTAAAATCCTCTCTCTTCTATCCACCTGTCTGTTCTTTTTATGTGGGGCTTTTAAAGCTGTAAAATTGTACTCTTGAAAGTTCTTTGGAATTTGATTTTTTCATTCGTAAGCAAGACACAACCAAGGTAAGTAATTTGAAATGTATACAAGCATATAGCTAAGTGCAGTGACTTTTGCCTGTAATCCCAGCACTTTGGGAGACGGAGGCAATAGGATTGCCTGAACCCACGGGTTCGAGACCAGCCTGGGCAACTTGGTGAGACCTCGTCTCTACAATAAATCAAAAAGGGTGTGGTGATGCTCGCCTGTAGTTCCAACTACTTGGAAGGCTGAGAAAGAAGGATCGCCTGAGCCCAGAAGGTCAAGGCTGTGGTGATCGTGAGTATGCCACTGCACTCCAGCCTGGGTGACAGTGTAAGACTCCAACTAAAAAAAAAACCAAAAAGCATATAGAGTGAAAAGAAAGCATCCACTCTGTGTTCATCCCTCGGCCTCCAGTTCTACTACCCAGAGGCAACCAGCCATTGTCACTAGTCTACTGGGTCACATTCCAGAGAAATCTACAGATAAACCAGTACAAATGTACTTTATTTTGTTATTTACACACATGGTGCATGCTGTATTTACCTTTCCACACACTTGGGTTTTTTTACTTAGTATATCTTGGGGATTGCTCTATCTGTCTATAATTAGAACTGCCTTGTTCTTTTCAGTAGCTGTATAGTGTACCCTAGTTTATTGAACCAGGATTCTACTGTTTGTCCAAATGTATTTTATAATAGTTAAAAAGACAAAAGGCAAAACTCCTTTAAGAAAATCTACTTGGTAAGGTGGTGGGTGAATCATTGCACACATTCAATTTTATAAAACCTTAAACTTCAAAAGTTGGCATGCCTGGACAACATAGTGAGACCTCATCTACAAAAAATTAAAAAACTAGCCAGATGTGGTGGCATATGCCTACAGTCCCCGCCACTTGGGAGGCTGAGGTGGAAGAATCACTTGAGCCCAGGAGATGGATGCGACGGCAAACCATGATCGTGCCACTGCACTCTGGTCTGGGCCACAGAATAAGACGTCAACTCAAAAAAAGAAAAGAAAAAAGTTGGCATGGAGGATGGGGTAAGGCAAGTGGAATTTGTGGGGCTTTATGCAACCCTGGGCTAACTTTTATAGTGTGATCTTTCCATTTCTGAATACAAATGAGAAGAACAAAAAACTGTTAGAAGTTCAGTGCAGATGACCTCCTTGAGCTGGTCAGAAAGTGACTGTAGTCCTGATCCACAACTTCCCTGAGGGTGTTCAGGACACGGCAAGGCCCTTGTGGACATATTGCAGGGGGCTGGAGAAAGTGCCTCCCTTCGCAGATCAGAAACTGATTGCGATCAGAACACACTGGTTCGCAAGGGAGGGAAGAATATTTGAAGTCAGGGCTGGACCAGAAAGCTTGGTCACCAGACCAGACACACCCCTTTGCTCTAAGTGACATGTTTGTTCATTGACAGCCATGCTCCAGCTGGCAGACCTCCAAAGGGCACCGTCTGTCCAACAGCAAGTTAATTGCCGCCAAAACACCTGGTCGGCTCTTCCCAGAGAACAGCATGGCGACACCGCACGCATTCCTGTCTCACCAGGCATGTCCAGCAGACGAAGGCTGCTGGTAAAGCTCGTCTCAGACCCAACTCCCTTTCCAGCGCCCTGTCTTCTGTGGGTCGTCTTCCACCTACACCCACAAGTCTGTTCTTCTGGAGGGCTTCTGGGGATCCCAACCTGCCCGGACTTGTCTTTTCCTGTGCCTGTTGGCTCACACCCTCAGTAGAAGCTGCTGCTCTGGGTGATTAATTTGTGGAGGGAGAGCACAGTGTAGTTTCGCAACCTGGCAGGGAGTCCATGGACTCTGTGCACTGTTCATAGGAGTGTCAACTGGTGTATTTTGCAGGGTCATTTGACATTGTCAATTAACATTTTATTTTATTTTTATTTTTATTTTGAGTTGGAGTCTCACTCTGTCGCCGAGGCTGCAGTGGCACAATCACGGCTACTGCAGCTTCGACCTCCTGGACTCAGGTGATCCTTCCACCTCAGCCTTCCAAGTAGTTGGAACTACAGGCACATGCCACCACACCCGGCTAATTTTTTTTAATTTTATTGTAGAGACAAGATCTTGCCAAGTTGCCCGGGCTGGTCTCAAACCCCTGGGCTCAGGCAATCCTCTCGCCTCAGACTTCCCAAGCGTTGGGATGACAGGTGTGAGCCTCACCCAGTCTCAGTTAACATTTTAAATGCATACACTCTGTAAGTCAGCATTCCCACTACTAGGAAACTGTTCTCTAAAATGAAACGCAGGCATGTGTCAAGGTGTACGCATAAGAATCAATACTGCAGAGTGACAACGTAATGAAGGAGAATCAGAAGCCATCTAAATGTCCATTAATAGGGGAACCGGTTAAATAAATGTTGACATAATCTTATAATAAAGTATGATGCAGTCATTAAAAGAATCAAGTAGTAACTTGGAAAGATGTCCAGGATATAGTATTAAGTGAAAAAGATCGAGTTGTGGACCAATATGGTAATGTGATTATATATTTTATTAAAAAAAACACATATATACATTCATACATAGTCATGTCAATGTGAACACTTTTAAAAGTAGAGAATAATTTATTCTAAATAACTAAGTGCTTCTTTATGGGGAATGAGATTACAGAAGTAAAGGTAAAGATTTTTTTTCCTCCTTAATTTATAAAACTAAAAAATTGTGACAATATGGGCTATTTTTATGGCTTTCAAGATTTGTATTTTTTTATTTTTTGAGTCAAGGGTCTCACTCTATTGCCCAGGCTGCAGCATGATCAGTGCCCACTATAGCCCAAACTCCTGGGCTCAAGGAATCTGCCCTTTCAGTCTCCCAAGTAGCTGGGGCTACAGGTGTGCGCCACCATGCCCAGCTAATTGTTTTATTTTTTTAATAGAGATGAGGTCTTGCTATGTTGTTGCCCAGGCTGGTCTCGAATTCCTGGCCTCAAGCGATCCTGCTGCCTCAGCCTCCCAAAGTGCTAGAATTATGGGCGTGAGCCCCTGCTCCTGGTTAGGATTTTTATATTTTTAAAGTCCCTATGTGTTCGAAAATGGCCGCCTGCAAGAAGAGTGGTGGTTGAGTGGACGTGGGGTATGGGAGTGAGAGGTCTTTTCAATCCTTCTACCTTCTAGAAGTCACAGGGGCTTCAAATGCTTTGCCCCGAAAGGCTGGGTCAGGTGGGAAGGGCAGGCTGCAGGGAGAGGCTGGGAGTGAGGCGGCCTCTCCACACTCAGCCACCGTCCCACGTGGGTGGCAACTGCCTCCGCTCCCAGAGGAAGCTGGACGTGCCATAGAGGTCAGAGGGAAATGCCTGCACTCAAGCAAGGCGGGACTCACCTTCCCGGCACTGGTGCTGCACCCACAGGTAGCTGCCCCGCGTCGGGCACAGGTCTCCAAAGTAGGTCCTGTCTGCCGCCACCTGGCATGCCTGCAGCCCCTGGCACTGGGCTGGGAACCACCCACATCCCAGTGGAAGCAGGAACAGTGTGCAAGACAAAAGAGGACACATTCAACAGAGCCACACAGGAAGGAATTCCTCTCATTCATTCATTCGTTCACCCACCATTGGCCCCACAGATACTTGCTGGTGCTGGGCTAGGTACTCGGGACAGAAAAGCAGGAATCCTGCTCTCAAGTAGCTCAGGGTTTTGCATATTGGTTCTCAAGCTTTGTCTGTTTGTTGAGTCAGGGGGTCTCACTCTGTCACCCAGACTGGAGTGCAGTGGCACAATCATAGCTCACCGCAGCCTCCACCTCCTGGGCTCAGACGATCCTTCTGCCCCAGCCTCCCGAATAGCTAGGACTACAGACACTCACCACCACACCCAGGTTATTTTTTAAAATTTTTATGGAGATGAGGTCTTGCTACACTGCCCAGGTTGACCTCAAATTCCTGGGCTCAAGCGATCCTCACGCCTCAGCCTTCCAAAGTGCTGGGATTACAGGCATGAGCCACCAGGTCTGGTCTCAAACTTTTTTTTTAAGGGTATCTTTCCCCTTCCCCCAGAAGTCTCCTAATGGAAGCTTCAGTGAATAGGTAGCCCTTGGCCTTCAACTATGACTCTCCCCCGGGTTCTTCTGACTCTCTCAGGAGCCCCAAGATTTGGCAACCTGCCTCGGACCCCACAGGCAGCAGGGGCTGAACTGGAACTGGAGCCCAGACCTGCCACCCTCTCGCCATGCACAATGCTACCCACCTCCGGGTGTGGGGGCAGTTCTGCCTCCCTTCATCTGACCTGAGCAGTCAAAAGTAGAGCTCACATTCCAGTCCATATACCAAGTCACACTAAACATCCAGCATCCCCTTGGAACAAATGAATGGTTCAGAGATACAGAGGGCACATCCCTGCTGTGTGTCCTTCCTAACACGGTTGGTATCTGGCAAGACCATCCGGGGCTCTGTCCCACCATCCTGCCCCCAGCCTTCCTTCTGGCTGAATCCCGCCCTTTCTCCATGGCCATGCTTCTGGTTCTGGCCCCAGCAAGTCCCCCTGACCCCCACCGCCACCCTGTGGTCAAGCCCTCCCCCCCCAGTCCAAAAGGAACACCAGCCACCATCCTATCTCTGTCCTCAGATTATACTTGAAGAGAGGTCTAATTCCAAAATTTGTGTTCCTTCCATGACCTTGTATAGCCTCATGTAATGCATTTAAAAAGAAAAAGAAAGTAAGTAAACTAAATCCCATCTAATTCCAGGACTTAACACGTCTTGCAGACAAACTTACAAATCTCTACAGAGACGTAGATGCATTGCTGCTCAGACCTGTAAAGCCTTCATTCGGGAGCTAACTGGAAATCCAGTAGGAGGTGGGTTTTTTGTTTGTTTGTTTTTTAGAGACAGGGTCTTGGCTCTGTGGCCCAGGAGGGAGTACAGTGGTACCATCGTAGCTCACTGTAGCCTTGACCTCCTTGACTCAAGTGATCCTTTGGGTGGAAGATTTTTAAAACTTTTTGTTCACTGTCGTATCTCCAGCCCATAGAACAGCACCTGACATATTGTAGGTGCAATGTGGGTTTTACACGAGTCAATAAATAGTACCCTTTGCTCCCCTTGGTCACAGCAGCTAGGATGCTATTAAGGAATTGTCTCAGTTTGTCTTCCAATCACACTGTGAGCTCTTTGCCTAGCAGAGCACTTCTGAGGCATTTAATATCCACAGAGCCCAGGGTAGTGCCTGGCACCCTGTTGGTGCCCAACCAATGCCTATTGGCCAACTGAATGGATGAGTGACCAGGGCGCTTAGATAGAGGTGATCACCCCATCCCCATCTCCACCTCGCCCTCTTCTGGCCTTCCCAGCAAGGTTCAAGGTCACCCTCTGATGTGCTCTCTGGGCTATGGGCTCCATGTTTCAGAAACCTGCAACTGAACCCTTGAGGAAACAGCCTACCTGGCCCCAGCCGTGCTGGTGAGAGAGGTACGTCCATTAACCTGTCCAGCCCGGGCCCTTCCTCCTTGGAGGGGCCGCAGTCACAGGAAGGCTAGGGGATTGAGAAGGGGTTGAGAGCCAACTGGCTGATGTCAGCATTTCCTGTCCCCACGCCTGCTCCAAAGGGAGCGAGAACAGGTGGTCGACACATGGAGGGCAGGGAGACCAGTCACAGTTCCAAGGAAGGTCAGGGGTGCTATGTTGCCCAGGTCGATCTCGAATCCCTGGGCTCAAGCGATCCTTATGTCTCAGCCTCCCAAAGTGCTGGGATGATTGCGTGTATATACTCACAGGAGGACATTTTGGGAGCAGCTGGCATCCCCTCACCAAAGCGCTGAAGGGTCTTTGGGTGGAGGCAGAGGCTCAGAGGGGGGTGCAGAGAAACACATGTGGGAGGCTGACCCTGAGGCCCCAGGGCATCCAGCCTGGGCACAAGTGGCTATATCCTCACTTAGCCAAGAACCAGCAGACCGCCTGCCTTCCTGGGACCCTGCCAGCAGGGTGGTGGTCAGCATGGCAGAGACGAGAGGGCTCCCCCATGTCCTGGACCACGGAAGTCTCTCAGGACTTTGCACCTCCCAGGAGGGTACAGAAAGCCTCCCATAATCCCGGAAATTGGATCCTTGTCACTGGGCAAGAGAGGCTGAGAGGCGGACTTAATCTGATTTAGAAAAACAAAGCCCTAGAGAAACTCTCCTACACGAATAAGAGATACCATCAGGCACGTTCACTTCGTGTTATTCACGGTAGCAAAGAGTAAGACACAAGAAGTGACACCTTCATCTCTCCACAGAAGAGACGAATGGTGGCACAGGAATACACTGGATGAAACGAAGGAACGAGAACCACACGTCAGCATGGTTCGCACATCTCAAAAGATAAGGATGAGCCAAGGACAACGAAAAGAAAAAGAGAAAAACTCATTGCAGAATGGCACATAAAATATGATACCATTTATGCAAACATTACAAATCTGCAAAACAAGCTGGGTGCAGTGTCTCATGTCTATAATTCTGGCACTTTGGGAGGCCGAGGTGGGAGATGAATTGAGGCCAGAAATTAAAGACCAGCCTGGGCAACCTAGCGAGACCACGTCTTTACAAAAAATAAAAAATAAAAAAAGTAGCCAGGCATGGTGGCGCATGCCTATAGTCCTAGCTACTCAGAAGGCCAAGTGGAAGAATTTCCTGAGCCCAGGAGGTCGGGGTTGCAGTGAGCTGTGATTGTGCCACTGAATTCCAGTCTGGCAACAAAGTGAAACCTCTGTTCAAAAAAAAAAAAAAATCTGCAAAAAACTGCTCTATAATGTTTAGAGATGCAAACACAAAAGGGGAAAATAGAGACCCACGTGTGTGATTAGGAAGCACTTAATTCCCAAAAGGAACAGGAGCAAGGAGACCTGCAGCCCGGAAATCCTGGGTTTAAGCGACCCTCCTGCCTCAGCCTCCCAAAGTGCTAGAATTACAGGCATGAGCCACCTTGTAGCACCTAACAAGGGAATCTTAAGCAAATGTGGTATCATGTTAAGATGTGATGAGGTTGGGTAGTATGTATGTCCATCATGATACTTTTTTTCTTGTCTACATGTTTGAAATACTTCAAAATTTAAAAAATTATGTTAAAAAAAAAAGCTTTCCTGCACCCAGGAGGGATGGGGGAGCAGAATGCCCACCGGATCTGAGTCTGATGCTGTGGTGAGTGAGCCACGACCCCCTCCCCCTTCCCTGCTGGGTGCTGTGGGCAAAGTTTGGAAGCCCAAGACCAAAGCTGAAGATTGCTAGAAGCCTCCCGAACCCTTTGCTGGGCACAGAGAACCAGCAACAGCCCTCTGCTTGCAGTCAGGGATGCAGAGCCCTTGGACCTTACCTGCCACCTCGTCCTTGACATTGACCCAGCTGCAGTCCTTCTCCAGGTCTGAGGGGTGCCCGGCATCCTGGGTGCAATAATGGGGTGTCTGGCGCCCGTAGAAGGCTTCCTGGATCTCAATGACCTCCCCAGAGCCGCAGTGCATGGTGGCGTTGAGGCCTTCACAGGCCAGGCTCTGGCCGACCTCTACAGCAAAAAGACAACACCTTAAGGGGGACCTGAGGGGCTCACAGTTAATGTGAGACAAGTGCCAGGTTCATGGGAAGGGGAGGGTCCCAAGGTCAGGGCTGTGAGATGCGAGGACCCGTAGGAGCCGGTGAGGCAGGGCTGAGGAGTCTCAGGTGGTCGTCAAGAACATTGCTTTGGCCAGGTAGGTGGCTCCCGCTTGCAATCCCAGCACTGAGCTGGGGCGGCAGGGGGGCAGAGGGAGAGGGCAGGAGGAGGGAGACCCCCAAAGGGGCCACTCACCAAACTCGCACACAAAGGCAAAGGTCCGCGTGCAGTCTGAGAATGCCCACTTGGAGAAAGGGCCTCTCCCGATGTGACCACAGGTGTCGAAGCCGGAAGCGGCCTGCCCTCTGTGCCAGTGGCTGTAGCTCACATTCGAGGTGTCCAGCCAGGTCCCCGGCCCTGGGAGAGGAGGGCAACACCATCACCAGGACTGGCAACTTTCTTCTCCCTGCCTTTTTTTTGAGTTGGAGTCTCACTCCGTCGCCCAGGCTGGAGTGCAGTGGCATGCTCATGGCACCCCAGCGTTGACCTGCTGGGCTCCAGCGATCCTGCCGCCTCAGCCTTCCAAGTAGCCAGAACTACAGGCACACGCTACCACGCCTGGCTAATGTTTTGATTTACTGTAGAGACAAGGTCTCGCCAAGTTGCCGGCGGCTCTCGAACCTGTGGGCTCAGGCAATCCATTCGCCTCAGCCTCCCAAAGTGCTGGGATTACAGGCTGAGCCACCGAGTTCAGTCTTTTATTTAAATTAATTAATTTTATTTTTGAGTCAGGGTCTTTACTGATCACGTTTCACCACAGCCACAAGAGGGCTCATGTGATCCTTCTGCCTCTGCCTCCTGAGTAGCTAGGACTACAGACTGGCTTATTTTTTTTATGTTTTGTAAAGACGAGTTCTGGCTATGTTGCCCAGGCTGGTCTCAGACTCCTGGGCTCAAGCAATCCTCCCACCTCGGCCTCCCAAAGTGTTGGGATTACATGTGTGAGCCACCGCACCCAGGCACTCACTGTTATTTTCCAATGCTCAAATGTAAGAACTGGGGTGCCAAATTGGAGAACCCACAAAAGGCAATTTGATTAAACAAATGAGGCTTCCAGCTCTATTCAACAATATCAAAAGAGCCCAGCAATGTGTGCCAGGGAATATTTGACGGTGTCTCCGGTCAGCAGGGTCCCTTGTCAAATACATGTGGGCAGTGCTGAGTTTAAATGTGAGCAGTTTTGTTACTTCAGGCCTGTTCAGACCATTGAAAGCACTATAGTAACTATTAGCAGGTGTGTGTGTGTGTGTGCATGTGCATGTGCATGCATTTGTGTGCATGCAAAACAGAAACAACTCAAGGACACCAGAAAGCTGGAATATACTAGATATATAAAATGTACTACATTTACTACTCAAAAAATATAATTATTATTTTTTAAAAGAAAGGAAATTGATGAAAAGAAATTAAGAATAACATAGTCACTTTCTGTGTTCTCATCTATATAATGGGATAGTAATAATTTTTCTCATCAGTTATTGTAAGTCATACAATAGGGTATAAAATAAAAACATCTTCCCTCCCGCTGCCTATGGGCCTCTCCCAGCATTGTTATATTTCCTGTCAGTGGTTCCAGGCTGAACTTTTCCACACATCAGCATTGATGAGTGCCTGAAATCTGGTTGCACAAACGCTATCCTGTTGCACACGGTGTCTAGCCCTTGCTTCTCAAACAACATGAAATATGAGAGGTTGTTAGCTATCTGCCTGGTTAGAGCTACCTCCTTTTCTGAAACAGCCACGCAGTGTCCCTTGGGAGGTTTTCATATACACAACTCCTCTAGCCACATGGGAAGGGATATTCAATATGCAGAATTGGCTGGGCACGGTGGCTTACACATGTAATCCAGCACCTTGGGAGGCTGAGACAACAGGATTGCTTGAGGCCGGGAGTTCGAGACCAGCCTGGGCAATGTAGCAAGACCACATTTCTACAAACAGTTAACCAGATGTGGTGGCATGTGGGCCTGTAGTCCCAGCTGCTTGGGAAGCTGAGGCGGAAGGAGTGCCTGAGCCCAGGCAGTCAAGGCTGCAGTGAGTGACCATGCCATGGCACTCCAGCCTGGGCAACACAGTGAGACTCCAACTCAAATACACACACACAAACACACACAGAGAGAGAGACAGACAGACAGACAGACACAGAAACAGAGAGAGAGATAGAGAGCAAGACAGAGAGGGAGAATTGGCAACTGCTGCATCCTCAGGTCCAGAACCCGTTCAATCGGCATCGCTGGCAGAAGCGTCTCAAGACTGGGAGCCCCTCGGCTGGGAGTCTCCATAAGTGAGCTTCCCAGCAGTCATGGATTCTGACGTTTCCGTCACTCTGTTATCTTTCTGTGAGTGCTCATTCCTACTCATTCTCACACTCAGTAGCTTCTCCAGGGGCAAAAAGAACCCCTGCGGACCACATGCACGGCAGGAAAGTCAGGCTTGGGAGTTGCTCTGACTGGCTGAGTCCCCACTGCCCTGCCCCAGCAGTGACACGTTGACCAAGTCAACCCCTCTCTCTAGATTTCATTTTCCTCATCTGTGGAAGAAGAGCAGCCATCCCTGCCTCATGAGGTCGGTGTGAGGGTTAAATGCAAATGTGTCTGTCTTCTTTCTACCATGTCTAGGGAAAGCCAAAACGGCCAGGACACGGTTCTTTCCTTGACGGGCTCACAGCCTAGCGGGGAGACGGCCGGCTAAATAATTTAAGGCACACCAAAAGCATCCCCATGGAGGTGTGGGCGAGGTCCCACAGGCCTCATCTCTGTGCTGGGGCAAGGGAAGGAGCCCTCAGAGAAAAAAAGAAGTCAGACCTTTCTAGAACCACTAACATCAGACTCTTTCATGCCGATGGAGTTCTGCTTAGGAAAGACTTTAAAAATAGCTTAGTCATTATTTTCTGAGACTCAGTTTTCTCATCTATGAAATGGGACAGTAATAATAATCTCTCTTATTGATTATTGTAAGGATTCAATGTGAGGATGTCCATGAGACACTCAGGATAGTGTTTCTATTCTAGCAAGAAGGGAAGAAATCATAGTATTGTTATTAGGCATGCTCAAAGAAATGGACATTTCTAGCATGTCAGCTATGTGGCCAATCCTGTGCTAGGTGTGACGCGTGAATTCTTTTATTTGATCACAAAGCAATCAAAGAGAAGGGTACCCTTACCACGAGAATGGGGACATATTAACTCGTTCCATGTTGTGCTGGGTGAGAATGGCGACACGAGACATAGCTATCACAGCACCCACCTTCTGTGGCTCCGTCATGTGCCGAGGTCCCTATGACACCGATCCACCACTCCTGGTCCTGGGAGATGTGTTTCTGCAGAAACCGCTGGGTGTCCTCATCACGAATGAAGACCAGATGGCCTCCTTGCCCCTCACACCAGCTCTGGGCACCGCGGAAGGTGCGTCCGAGTGGCACAAATTCATAGCAGGCATCTCTGAAGGACACCTGGCTCTTAGAGCAAAAACTGCCCTCCTCTGGCTTGGCGGTGGTGGCCCTGAATTTCAGAGCGAGCCCCAGGAGTATCAAGCCCACAGCACTCATCCTTGGACATTGCCAGGGGTTTCTTCTCGGGGCCTTCTTATGTTGGTGCCATCACAACCACCTGCCATCCATCTTCCGGTCTCTCCACGTCAAATCATAGCAACAACCTTTTGTTTAAGAAACAAAAGTCTCAGGTTGACAGCGTCTGCCATTTTGTTCCAAAGGCCATTCATTCGCCAAAGGATCGTCTAGAGAAAGATAAAGTCGTGCCATCCCCCGTCTGCTTGTCTGACGGTCACCTGTTCTTGTCTGATTAAAAAAAGAAAAAGTCCTTGCTATTGATTTGACGTCATTACCCTGAGGGCCAGGTGTTTCATGAGAAGCTATCAGTGTGCGGGGAATATGTGACAAAAGAAAAATGGCAGGAAAGTTGGAGTTATGGGAATGTAAATAAAATAAGTTGCTCCCATGTCCAGTCTCATTGTCTAGTACGGCAGCTGGGCCCAAATGATAATCATTCTCTCCCCAGCATGGCCGAAATCCTGATGGATATTTGGTCCCCCTTCTGATTCATTAGGATCATTCATTATTCATTAAGATAAACATTCCCTAAAAAAATTTATTTGTTATCATCATGAAAATAAGCTTTCATTCAAAACTCAGACCCACTCATTCTTATCCCACTCCCTAAGCCCTCCAGTAGGTTTCCATGGCATATGGATCAAGTTCAAATTCCCCTGCTTTTGTATACCGGGCTCTGTGTGGTCTGACCCCGGACAACATTTCCAAACACATCCTCCCCAATGTGAGGAAACAGGCTTTCTCACCCCTGGCTCTTGGAAGTATAAGTTGGTCAACCTCTACTGTGGGCAATGTGGCAATATTTATCACAATTTAAAAAGCACAAACTCTACAATGTAGCAGTTTCACTTCTAGGAATTATGCCAACAGATAAATTCACACATGTGAAATGTCAGATGTATAAAAGGTTATTTTCAGAATTCAAGAAGAAGGGAAAAAATGGAAACAACTTAAACATCCAGTGCCAGAAAATTGCTTAACAAAGTGTGGCACAGCCTATGTACCCATGAAAAAATGTGCAAATTCTTCCTCTACAAATTTGGATATCCACTATGTGGATAGACCACATTCTGTTTATCCATCATCCGTTGACAAACATTTGGTCTGTTCTCCCCCATGAGTTTCTTGGGGGAGGGACAACATGTTTTTTTGTTTTGTGTTGTTTTGTTTTTGAGTTGGAGTCTCACTCTTCGCCCAGGCTGGAGTGCAGTGACACGCTCACAGCCACCCCAGCATCCACCTGCTGGGCTCCGGCGATCCTTCCGCCTCAACCTTCCAAGTAGCCAGAAATACAGGCACGTGCTACCATGCCCGGCTAATTTTTTATTTATTGTGGAGATGCGGTCTTGCCAAGTTTCCCGGGCTGGTCTTGAACCCATGGGCTCAGGCAGTCCACTCACCTGGGCCTCCCAAAGTGCTGGGATTATAGGCTGAACCACCGAGCCCAGCCGACAACATCTCAATCTTTGTGTATCCCATGACTGGCTCATAATAGGACTCAACAAATATTTGCCAGCCTTCCATCTTCTGGGTCGCTGGTGATTTCCTCTGTGGCCTCCCTCCCTCTCCTAGAAATGCTTCCAAGCCTTCTGGAGCGGCCCTGCCAGAGACTGGAAGGGCTAGAGCCAGAGCAGCAGCACACAGTGTCATCTCTGACTCACAGGCTGAAATACAGGCTGGGCAGAACAAGCCTGTTATCTCTGAAAACCAAGCTTTTAATGGCTTCCATTAGAAAACTATGTGAAAGGCCACACACAGTGATAATGTATCTCCTGGATAAAGGCTTAATTAATGTCCCTAATGGAACACGCTTGGAGTCATTTGATAACGAATGCAAATCTGCAGGCTAAATTCCATGTGCACATTCTTCACGTTCTGATAAATTGCAGGCCCAGACTTCCTCGTGGTGATGTCGGCTCCCAATGTCCCTTAACTTCCGAATACAAGTAGCTCCATGGGAAGGAAGCAGGACATGGCTGAGCCCTTGTGAGTGCATTTCCAAGGATCTGATCCCGCTGTCTGAGACTTCACGTGGGGTCAGCGACATGAAAACAGAAAGAGAGCTTGGTTTCAATAGGGCGTTGTCCATGGAAGGAACCATGAAGATACTTAGGCCTGTGGCCCAGACACTTCAGTCCAGGAAATAGATCTGTTTTAGTTTGGGTCCCCCAGACAAGGATTCAAGGGCAAGGAATATATCTGGGAGGGGATCCTAGAGACAGGAGAGAAGGGCACATCTCTCTATAGGAATGGGGGATGGGGAAGGGTTGTGTTTTTGGTTTGTTTGTTTGTTTGTTTGTTAATCAGGGTCTCACTCTGTCACCTAGCCTGGAGTGCAGTGGCATGATCACAGCCTCGGCTTCCTGGGCTCAGGCGATCCTTCTGCCTCAGCCTCCCAAGTAACTGGGACTGCAGGCAGGCACGTGCCCATGCCGGCTAATTTTTTAAAAATTCTTTGTAGAGATGAAATCTCACTATGCTGCCCAGGCTTATCTCAAACCCTTGGCCTCAAGTGATCCTGCTGCCTCGGCCTCCTAAAGTGCTGGGATTACAGGCATGAGCCATGCACCCAGTCTGAGCTATCTCTTAAAGACCGTGACATGGTCAGTGACCCCCGTCACCCTCGCACCTGCCATGCAGGGATTCTAAATCCAAGCACCTGTGGCTCTGCATCTCTCTGCATATGTGGGGCAGGATGGAAGTGCCTGAAGTTAGCACCTCTGGGGGGAAACTCTCAACCCTGACGGATCAGAGCTGGCAGATCAATACCCTGACTTCTCAAGATAATTCAGACAAGTTCCCATCTCCCGGAGTTCCCCAGCCAGACTGAGTTTCAGTGGCTCATGATGGTAATAGGCTTGAAGATGCACTGTTGATGTCTTCTCTCCTCTTCTGTCTTCCTTCCCTGTTCCCTGCTGTTATTTCCTGTCTTAGCCAGGTTCTCCAGAGAAACAGAATCAAGAGGAGATGGATAGATAGAGATGATGGACAGATGATAGAGAGAGGATAGATAGATAATAGATAGGTAGAAATGAGAGATAGATGATAGAGATGACGATGATACATAGAGATGATAGGTAGGTAGATGATAGGTAGGTATAGAGGTGGATGATAGATAATAGACAGATATTATAGATAGATAATAGATGGATGATAGATGATAGAGAGAGATGATAAATAGTATAGATAGATGATAGATTAAAAAAACAGTGGTGCATATACATGATGGAATATTATGCAGCTATTAATAAGGACAAAATTATGAACTTCGAGCAACTTGGATGGACTTAGAGGCTATAATACTGAGTGATCTGTCGCAGAAACAAAGAACTGAGTACCACATGTTCGCACTCATAAGTGGACCTTGAATCATCATAATATTAAAAGAAAGGGATTAGCAGTAGTGGGAAACTGCCAGGGGAGGAGGGGCACACCTTATCAACAAGGGGACCTGCATAATGAACATTTGTATACCAAACCCTGAATTGTACCCCACACCTTCAAAATTAAAACTTAAAATAATAATAACAAAATGGCCTAGAGATGCATGTCAAACTATTATTTTAGCCCATGTGTGAGTTATCCAGTCAATTTAATATGTTGAAACAAAATTTTAAAAATAAAGTAGAATAGACAGAAAAAATAGAAATGATAGATGACTGATAGATAGATGATAGATAATAGATCATAGAGTTGATAGATAATAGAGATTATAGAGGATGGAGAGATATTATAGGTGATAGATATGATAGAGATGATAGGTAGATAGAGAGATATGATAGATATGAACAGGTGATAGAGACGATAGATATAATAGGTAGGTAGATAGAGATAGATAGATAGATAGATATAGATAGATAGATAGATAGATAGATAGATAGATAGATAGATAGATAAGGAGATGTATTGTGGGAAATGGCTCACGCAATTATGAAGGCTGAGAAGTCCCATGATCGGCTGTCTGCAGGCTGGAGAATCAGAAAAGCCAGTGGCGTAACATCCCGGTCCAAGTCCGAAGGCCCAAGAACCAGGAGCTCCAATGTCTGAAGGCAGGAGAAGATGGAAGTCCCAACTCTAGAAGAGAGTGAATTCGCCCTTCCTCTCCCGGAGGCTTCCTGGGGCCCTCAATGGACTGAGAGGTGCCCGCCCACATCAGTGAGGGTGGGTCTTCCTTTCTCCATCCACTGATCCAAATGCTAATCTCCTCTGGAAACACCCTCACAGACACATCCAGAGAGCGTGCTGCCAGCTCTCTGGGGACCCCCTAGCCCAGTCAAGTTGACACCTGCAATTAACCAGCCCAACCTCCCAAATAAACTTCTTACACTTGGATGCTCCTCTTGGGGTCAGCTTCTCAGGGAGCCTGAGCACAGATAGGTATACTCTAGGACCGGGATAACTGGACCACAGGAGAGGCACAGCTTCATGATCCTTGCTATGGACTCAAAGCCCTATTTAGACCAAACTAAATTCTGCCGTTCCTATTGCCAGTCTCACTTGAAGACCCAGACTGGCAGACCAAGTGTTGGTAACATGCTCACACAGCTGAGCAGTGTTCTGGCCACTTGGACAGTTTCAGTTCTATCTTGGAGACCATCTTTGAGCAACTGAACAACTTCAGTCATCGGAATGAAGAGCGATTTTCTCTGGGTTTTAAAAAAGTGTATGTGAGGCCGGGTGCAGTGGCTCACACCTATAATCCCAGCACTTTAGGAGGTGCAAGGTGAGAGAACTGAGCCCACGGGTTCAAGACCAGCCTGGGCAACTTGGCAAGGGCTCATCTCTACAATAAATCAAGAAATTAGCCAGGTGTGGTGGCGCATGCCTGTAATTCCAGTTACTTGGAAGGCTGAGGCGGAAGGATCACCTGAGAGTCCAGCAGGTCGAGGCTGAGGTGGCCATGAGCATGCTACTGAACTCCAGCCTGGGCAACAGAGTGAGACTCCAACTCAAAAACAACAACAAAAGCGTATGTGGCT